TTAGAGACGGCATAACTACCCGAAGACGTTGAGAAATCATCTTTGCAATTAATTTGTAATCAGCGTTTAATAACGATATCGGCCTCCAGTCCTTAAAGTTTTCCGGATCCTCTTTCTTAAATAACAAAGTGATAACCGCACGACGAAGTGAGAGAAGGAGCTGGCATTTATCCAGACACGTATTGACCATTAACACAAAGTCACCCTTCAGTATTCCCCAAAACAAACGTAAAACTCTTTCGGGAGACCATCAGATTCCGGTGTTCGAAGTGCCGGCATTGGATAAAGGGCAGCTAAACATTCCTCCTCCGAATGGAACGCCTCAAGGGTTAACTTCTCTTCTTCGGACAGCTTACGATCAATGGAAAGGAGCACCTCCTCCTGCGCACGAGCGCTAACCAATTGGGCAGTATATAAGTTTTTATAAAACCGCACCAGTTCTTTCATTATCCCGTCGGAATCCGTGACACGACCATTGACTGTTTTCAAAGCATTAACCAGTTTCTTAGGTGCATTGTACCGTTCACGTTGGAAAAAGAAGTGTGAATGCTTCTTATTGTTCCTGATGATTTTAACACGACTCCGAATTTTTGCCCCTTCCAATCTCTGAGAAGCAAGTTCACATACTGTAAATCGAACCGAACACGCTGCAACTGTTCTAATTCATGGGGTGACAAAATTGTTTTCTCCGATAGACGATGGAACTTGTTCATAAGATGGACTCGTTGTTCATTTATTTGCTGCCTGACAGCCTTGCTATACTCAATAATAATATGTTTAATTTCAGCTTTGCCTTCATCCCACCACTCCCCGACATCACTAAATAATATCTTCGCCTCAGTCCAGTCTGACCAGGAAGATATAATCTCAGTTCGCAGTTTTTCATGCTTGAGGAGAGAAGTGTTCATTTTTAAACACCCCGGCCCCAAGTAAGAACGTGATGCGTATCAAAAATATGAAAGGAAACCAAATCATGATCAGATAAGTGACATGGTTGAATCCCAGTTATCATCTTACTATCATCCACCAAATCCACAGAAATGTAAAATTTATCCAACCGCGACATTATAGAACGGTCGCGTTTCAATGATGAATGTTGATGTCTCCAGATATCAATCAAATGATATTTTGATAACAACCGCTTCAGTTCTGGGCTACTAATACTCGCGCGAGGACTTCCACCGAAACGGTCCATATCTATATCTAAAACCAAATTAAAGTCCCCGCCCATAATTACTTTACGGCGGGTTAACAAATATTTGTCCAACTGCGACAAGAAATTCAACCGATCTGTACCAACGGTAGGAGCATAAATATTGACAATCTGCAAAGGTGTTCCATTAAAAGTCTAATCGCAAACACACACTCTACCGTCAAAGTCAACATCTAATTTCGCAGGATCACGGATTAAGATACCAACGGGTGACTATGAACAGTTCCAACACTCCAAAATCCTGGACATTGTCATTCAGCATTCCACTGCATGCATATCCGGTTGTTCAGTATCCTGGTGTCTTGCAAGAATGCAACATCATAGTCATAACGATTTAGATAATCAAACATTAAACTACGACGTTTAGGATCTCTCATGCCATCCACATTCGGGGATACTACCGATACTAAATTCACGTTACGGCGATCTGTTTCCATCAATTCCACGGTTACTGGTGCCACCATGCCAGCGACACGGGCGGTGGAATTACCATCAGCAGAAGAGGGTGGCACGCGTGGGGCTGCAACTTAGGGAAGTTCTCTCGGACGTGACCACAGCGAAAACATTTGAAACACGTATCACGAGTATGTCCAGACAAACCACACTTAGAACAAACTACATTATTCGGACAATCATTCGCAAGATGGCCTAATAAACGGCAACGAAAACATTGAGGGAGTTGACCTTTATGTTTATTTCCACCAGAAAGTGTCCAATTCTTGACTTTCGTGGGAAATCGGTTTTAATGTCAATCATCTTGGCGACTTTTGTTCCCGTTTCAATCGTGGGGAAACCATGCTCCATCGTCATTTCGCGTGTTATCGTCTCCACTTTCCCATGATTACCAAGAAACTCCGCAACAACTTTATTGGGCACTTCACTAGGCACATACGACACTTTCACCTCCACAATTGGGTTTTCAATCGGCTGCGCTTCGACTTCCATATTCTTAATGTTAAAAAGCTGAGATAAGAGAGCCAGTTTAGCAACATTAGTACGAAATGTGACCCTATATCGACCATAGAGCATTGACAGCACAGCTTTAACAACATCCACACCAATAACATTAACAATTGTTTGAATAACATCCTTTACGAACAAACTCTCCAAATGGTTTGCATGCAATACAACCGTATTTGGACGATGCAGCCTCGGCTAACCCTGGCGAATAGGATGAACCCTTGGCTGCTCCCCACCATTAACACGAGCAGGTGCAACAAAATCCAACGCGGCTGCCTGACCAATCGTTGCTACGTTAATTGTTACCTCACCATGCACCACTTCCTCAACTGCTTTACTCCACTGCGTAACTACTTGCTCCACCAACAGTTCTTGTTCTTCCTCCACTGCGGCTTTGTCTGTCTTGGTTGTATTGTTGATCCAATAAAACTAGATTTGGCTGGTGCCTGAAGCACAGCCAAAAACGATCCGTGTGAGACCTTTCAGTTCAATTTTACAGAGAAATAGTTTCGTTTGCGCTTGTGGCATTTTATCTTAGATAACGCGTGTGCAGAGAACACCATAAGTTTTATTCCCGTGTTTATCCAGTTTAACGCGCTCTTTGAATTGACCTTATCATAAATGATAATATTAAACTATAACACTATAATTGACCTCCGGTTGTGGAGATGTTAAACCGAAATCTGTTCTATATCGATGCATTACAGTGCGTATGTCTATATACATGTCCTTGCAATTGTCTAGTGTAACGTTGGATAAGTCCGGACAAGCAGCAACGTAGTCTTCCAGCCGAAAAATTACTTTTATACTTATACCTTGCTACAGCATAACAAGGTGTTTTTGATATTTTTCCGTACAGCCCACTCCCGGTTACAAAGTTATTTTTCAATTATTCGTCGAAGACAATCTTAGGGGCCGACCATTTATTGGTGGCAGGGAATTTTTTTTTCCACACTTTCTTTCGCAGCATTTTTTTTCCAATAGCTTATACTATTTAGATTATTTAATTATGGTTAACGCTGAGTATTCTAGCTTCATGCATTGCTCTTAATAGTACATATTGCTTTGAGGTATAACATTTGGTTCAGGGCCTATTTTAAGGATGTGTAACTGGAAATGACATAATTAGCGGGGGACCTGGAGAAGTTCCAGTCAGCAAGTTTGTATCCAGGGCCGTAGCTAGTATGTATAGTTGGGGAGGTGTAGGCCAAATATTTCCGAATGACGAAGATAATTTCCGAATATATCATGGCATACTAAGCCACAAAGGTGTTTGCTATTCCGAAAATGAAGACGCAATTTACAAACAAAAATACGCATATTTTACGCACAGACATATTACAGAAGCAGTGCGGTAGGGAGCTTTTGTTTATTGGGGGCCAGAAAACGAAGGCCAGAGGCCAGAGAAAATTTTTAAAGTTCCAGTCTCTGAAATGCCATTTGCTGGACCTTGGGGAAGTTTTGACAGAATGCTGATGGTCAGAAAAAAGCGTTTTAGTATTACGAAATTTACAATTTGCTTACAATTTATAGTGACAATACAATTTTATAATATTTCTGTTTAACAAGTATTGCCGTAATTTTCCGAATGGCCAACCCGATTTTCTGAATATGTTGATTCTTAAAAGTTTGGGGGGGTTAGCCACCCCCCAATACCTCCCTTGCTACAGCTCTGTCTGTATCACTGCAGCTACTTACACATATGTATGCATGGCTTAACTAATAAGTATATGTCATAGGGCAGCAGCTCAGGCCATGCTTAACTAGGACTCTGAGACAACTGAATCAACCACCGAAGGTGCGAACCTCTAGAGGGGTTTGGGAGCATTCCCCTCCCAGAAAATGTTGGATTTTTTGAAGCTATTTCCAGCCTTTTGACGAGTTTTCCAACAAGAAATTAACTTTACACCAGTCCCTGAAAATCAAACCAGCTGATCTTAATTCTCGGACTGGTCAAATAGATCTCTGCAACCATGCTGTTTTGCAACATTTGTTTTCCCACCAAATACTGGGGCAGGATATTTTTTCCCCAGCTTGTTAGTGCAGGTATTTTTTTTGTTCAGAATAGCCTTGCAGGAATTTTTTTCAAAATCACCCACTACCCCTCAAAAGTTAAATGGTCGGCCCCTTAAGTGATTACCGATGAATAGTACCGAGGCGAAAAATTGTAAATAGTATAATATTTTTAGGAATAAGATACGTTTATCCAAATGTCAGTTTTAATTAAAATTCAGAAATAAATCAGTTTTCGGTCGGTTCGCGGTTGCTGTTTTAGTGTTGTAGTGTTTCTTATACGCACACGCTATCAAAACAGCTTCCTGCGTGACTTCATTGCTTTATTACAAAGTTGTTTTTCTTGATGAATTTCTGCTTACAATATAAAACACAATAATGGAGTGAATTTTTCACCAGAAATAATGGAATGACTTTTTCACCATTACTGTTTTCACTTTGAGAAAATTGGTACAATAGAATGTAAAACTATTTTGCTCGAAATAAAGTTTGAATACACTTTTCACTAAGAAGGTTCGATAACTAAGAAGGTTCGATGTCGTATAAATTTTGATATCTATATTATATTTTGAAATAATATCACGGCAAGGTTTATCCAACAGTAGGGATAGTTTTTCCTATTTGTTTGAAAGTAATGTTTCAATTCGCATTTTTAAATAAGTTTTAAATTGCTCCCACCAAGGCATGTGCTACAACATGATGACAACAACGCAGAGTGTATATGTATATTAAAAATATATAAGGGCCATTAAAAATAAGCTTTTTTCTTGTGGCATTTTCTTAGACCTCACAAAGGCTTTTGATATTGTGAATCACAGTATATTGATTAGAAAACTCGAACATTATGGAATTAGAGGAGTAGCAGGAAAGTGGTTTCATTCGTATTTAACAGATAGATCTCAGTTTGTTAATTTGTATTGGTAACAAACATCACAAACCTAACAATCCACTCCGCCCCATAGTTACTTGTAGGAATACAGCTCTTTACAACACGTCTAAATTTCTCGCAAATATTCTTTTACCTCTACAAAACCACAATAATTACTCTGTTAACAACTCTATACTGACTTCGCCAAGAAACTTACTGAAACGCACATTGACGATGATGAAATCATGGTGTCTTTTGACGTTGTATCGTTGTTTACAGCGATACCAGTAGATAAAGCATGCGAACATATCCGCAACAAACTCACGAAAGACAAAAACCTACATGTTAGAACCAAACTCTCTGTTGAAGATATTATTAAACTTTTACGTTTTACTCTTACTAACAGCTATTTTAATTACAACAATATAACGTACAAACAAATCCATGGTTGTGCTATGGGTAGTCCCGTTAGCCCTATTGTGGCAAACCTCTGCATGGAGGAAATTGAGGACTTAGCACTAATTACATCTTCTATGCCACCTAAGAAATGGTTTCGTTATGTTGATGACGTATTTTCTATCATTAAAAAACACGCGTTAACCAATTTCTACAAATTACTTAACTCTATCGACCCACACATTAACTTTACCATTGAACAGGAACTTGACGGAAAACTTTCATTTTTAGACACTTTAGTCACACGCAATAACGGATCTCTTTCTATTGACGTATACCGAAAACCTACACACACTGACAGGTACTTAGACTACAACTCACACCATGACAAACGACACAAAGTCAGCACTGCACAAACTCTCCTACATAGGGCAGCAACTTTACCAAACACAGAGGAAGGCAAACAACAAGAACGCAAAAACATGTAACCCACACATTAATGTCAAACGGTTATCCTAAGAAATTTTTGCAACAAGTTGAACAGAAACGTGTCTTGTTTGAAAACAGAACGCTGCCACCCGAAGAACTTGTAAGATCGTTTTTTGAATTAGTAGAACCGAAGACCAATCGCAGTTAAGCCGTCCTTCCATACATCAAAGGACTAACAGAACCTCTTAGACGCATTATGAAACCTCACCATATCCGAGTAACTATACGAAACCTCTCCGCACTCTAGAACAAATGTTTCCCTCAAAAAAAGACCGACCACTACCTGAGAACCAGACGAACGTCGTCTATCAAATTAACTGTTCAGATTGCTCATGGAGTTACGTTGACGAGACAGGCAGGGCCTGTATAACAAGAAAAAAAGAGCACGAACGAAACGTGAAAAAATGCACGAGTGGCTCTAATATCGCGAATCATGCGTGGGCAAACGACCACAGAATTGATTTTAAGAACGGAAAAATAATTGACAAGGGAAGCTATCGACACAGATCGACGTTAGAGTCTTGGCACACTGCATGCATGAAAGACGCTGATAACAACTCAAAACATTTGCCAGAACAATATCGCTTTTTGCTCAAAAAACTTTAAAATTCTACACAATATATTTACGTAGGCGGAACTGTCAGTAATTGTCTTTTGTCAGTAAATGTAATTGTAAACCGCTCTTGTATAGCACTATTCACTCTGTATCATATCTTATATCACTAGCACATTATAAATCTACCCGTCGAAGACTGCAGACTGGCAGTCGAAAGCTTGTTAATAAATAAATCTTTTTTAACCAGAGAACGTTTACACAATTAATATTTAAACTAATACTAAACCCATTACTTGTGGTGTTCCACAAGGTTCAGTCTCCACTGCTTTTTCTTTGTGAAGGTCCACTACTTTTTCTTTTATATATTAATGATTTTTGTAACTGTGCTCCTCAGTTGGATTTTCATCTTTTTGCAGATGACTCAAATTTATTCTGTTGTGACAGAAGCTTAATAGATATTGAATCAAAAATAAATAAAAAACTGAATTTTGTTAGTGAATGGCTTTCTATCAATGAACTTTCTCTCAATCTCAATGTGGATAAGTCAAACTATGTTGTATTTTCTCCTTCGCAAAAGAAACGCCCTAACGCACTCAAGATTTTAATAACCGGAGTGGAAATTAAGGAAAAGAAAAGTATTAAGTATTTAGGAGTTAATTTAAA